TCATTCAGGGCCTGTGTTAACGTGGACTTGCAGTCTCTGGGTTTAAAGCTGTGTTTCTGGCACAGTAACAAAATATCTCTACTGGTTTATTCTAGAGAAGAAAGCATGTCAATCCTCGATCTTGCTTTTTGCCCCAGTCTGATTTTGTGCATGTTTTCCAAGTGCTTCTTTCCAACAAACTCACCAACTACCCCACATCAGACACTCATCTCCTCCAATACCATAATGCTATTCTTCCCAAGTCCTGAGTGATTTACAGGAAATTTGGCAYTCAAATAGAATGGTGTTGATGTCTGGCAAGATCTGACAGCTGAGTCGGGGGCTTGGCACATTTCTGGCATTCTGTTATCAGCATGTAAAATCATGGTGAAGGATGGCACAAAATAATAATGAAAAAAAAAACAAAACAGAGTTTGGTTACACATTGTACTCTGATGGATTCTTTTTCTGCACTTGGATAAGGCATAATGGAAACACATTTACAGTTCTGTTCAATTGAAGTACAGAATCTCTAGACAGTACGGAAGTACAGAAGCTTTAGACACAAATCCTTAAAATAAAGTATTTGGAAACAGTTTGCCTCAGACCTGCAGAACAGTGTATCTTTTTGGACTTGTTAAAAAGGAATTTTAGGGKTTTTTAATGGTTTGTCGTTGTAGACAGACTATCTTGACTTGTTCCTAAAAGCATTTTTGGCCTCAGATCACGAACTGAATTGATATAATTTCTTGCATTAATAGCAAACAAATCAAACCCTCCTATTAGGAAGCCAAAGCAATACAGGGGGAAACAAAACATCAGAAAAACAAAAAAAAAACACCTCAATCAAATGCACCTTTGAGTCACAAGCCCTTGCTTTTGGCATGCTGTGGATTTTTCAAAGTTTTCAAATGACTGCATGTAAAGAAAGGTTTCAKCTGTCCAGTTATTTATGTTTCCTTCACTCACTTGAACTGTGACTTGTCTGTCCTTTCTTTCACAGCAACTCTTTTTAGGTTGCTTAGAAGTACAGAAGCTTGTCTGGTTGGTTGGTTGTGTTTAGTTGTAGCTAATTCTGTACTCTTTGTATTGCTTTGCCTTGTAGGGTCTATCTACTAGGCAAAGATCAAAGAGTAGTAATGATCCCATTTTTGTTTTTCAGTATTTCTTTTGTGGCCTGGGATGTTCTTTGCTTTTTTATTATTATTTTTTACTAAAAGCTAGTTGTTTAATAACTRGAGCTGATGCACTTCAGTGRAACTAGACTGTATAAACTATGATAMTTTGAGACTAATGCATGTGCTATGATGTCCTGAGAACCTCACATGCTGCAGGTGTTGTGGTGTTCTGTGTGTGTGAGACAGTGCACACATGTGGCCAGAAAAACGGGTCAGTGCCTGTCTCTGACACTGCAGACGCAATGACTGCAATTGTCTTGAGGAATTGATAATTTAAAACCATCCCATGTCTATTGGGATGCATGAAGTATTAAAAACCAATTGAAGAGCTTTTCTCTCAAAATACACATTTTTCTCACTGTCTCCCAAGTGAGGGAAAAGGAATTGAGCAGTATTCACTCAGAATTTATTTACAGGTTGGATATATCATAATTTAAACACCATKAATGTATTTTATAGAGCTTTGTGACTTGTGTACTCAGTTTCATCGACTGGTAACTGATWAACAGAGAAAAGAAGACTAAATGTTTCTGTTRGCTTATATAATAATGTTACTACAATTCTACAGTGAGCTTTTTGCTTGGAGAGATGATCTTTATTCCAATCTTTAGCTATATCAAACA